ATCTTGTCCCTGGTTCCTCTCCTGCCCTGCTGCCTGCTACCATGTTGAGCAGCTTTCCTCCACCAGGCCGTCCTCCACAGTGTTCTGCCACACCTCAGGTCTAGAGCAAAGGAGTCAACCCACCATGGATGGACACCCCTGAAACTGTGAGCTCGAAATAAATAAACTTTCCCTCCTCAACGTTGTTCTTGTCAGTGGTCACAGTGACAAAAAAGTGCATGACACATCCCAGGGTCCCTGTGAGCCTCCCTGCATCCCTAACACTCCTCTCCACCTGTTTGTGAGCCACCCCAGAGAGCTCTAGTCCTCACAACTAGAAGAGCCCTAGGGAGCGCCTGCCCCCACACCTATGTCACGTGCCACCAAGCACAGTCAGCCCAAGCTACCTGGGAAACTTCTTTTCATTTTCAACTTTCTTCTGTCAAGTGTTACTCCTTCTGTGAGGCCCTCCCTGCCCTCCTCCCCAATTCTATTAGAATTAAAGCAGCCAGAGTCTAAGAACCCTGCCAGGCCCAGCTTTATCACACTGATAGGACACAGACTTCCTGGTTCTCAGACCGTCTTAAAGTAAGAGGTCACAGATCATTTGTCTTTGTACCCACAGACACCCTGGTGTTCAGCAGAGTAGGTTGAAGAGTTGAAAAGAATAAACGGTGGCCCTGTAACATACACCCAGAACTTCACAGTTTGATTAAGATGGATTGGAAACCCCTACCTTAAGAGGGAGTACAGGCTCATGATAAAGGTAGGATTGAGAAATGTTTAGGTATGGCTGTGGGTTCATAATGGATCCAACTTGGGGGAAATGTCGTGCCTCTGAGGAGCACCTGGTGTTTATAAATGGGTCATCCATGCTGGGCAGCCATGATCTTTGCAAAAGAAAAACACAGGAGAAGGACCATGAATTTCTGATACTCTTGTAGAAATATGTAGTAGTATCTGTTCTCCAAAGAAGACCCCCTGAGTAAGCCACACTGCTCAGTGTGAACACCCTGTGTAGTTCATGTCCATGACGAATCTGGCCTGCCCCTCAGTACCCAGTAATACATGGCTCATGTGACTCTCTGACTTCTCAGGCAAGGTCACGAGAAGCTGCAGCCTCCATCTTGTTCCCTGGTACATTGGCTCTTCAGACATTTCCTCTTAGACTCTGGCTATTATGCTGTGAGATACTCAAGACATGCTAGAGGCCATGTGTAGGACTCCCAGGGCCGTCCCCCACCTCCCAAATTCAAGCCTGTGTTCTCAATCTCCAGGTGACTGATTGAGAAGCACTTTTCAATGGTTTTCCAAATTTCCCCCCTGCCTAGCCCATCTCAGTAAGACAGGAGACCCTTTGGCCCACATGGACCTCTCCTGGCTTGGCTTCACTTTCCAGGGCAGACAAATTTTATAACAAGAACAAAGGCCCCTGTGGGTAGTAGGCACCGGCTCCTTCTGCCCAGACATGATTGCGTCCTTCTCACTCTTGATACAGTGCCCTGTAACACTATGGTGGGGGGCTTGCCCCTGCCATTCCATGTGGCCATGATGGGAGTGTATAAAGGTGCCCTAGCTCCAGCCCTGATGAGGCATATGAGTCGGGCTGGATCCTAACAATACCACTTTCCTCTGAACACAGTCACAGGGAATAGAGGCACCGACCTAAGGGAGCCAATTAAAGTTCGTTCTGGAACTGTCAGACCAACTTGAGGAGAAAGTTCTTCTCCAGGTGGTTTACCTGGGACTCGGTTACCCCAGAGCTGGTAACCAGCCATGTCTGAAACCTTCAATTGCTAGACTATCCTATTTTATGAGACAAAATATTCCTTTTAAATTTAAGCCATGTGGAGTTTGGTTTCTATCACTGACAACTAAAGTGTTGACTAATAAAAATGAATATAAAAGGGCTATAAGTACCTTGACTACAGCATGGAGAACTGATGGATTCATGTTTGAGCTGAAATTCAGATGTGATCTGTAGAGTTGTCATGGCAAATGCAATAGGCCCAAAGCTCTGTTGGTGAAGTGTGCACCCTGCACATTATAGTGTAAATGTGCTATTTGATGAGCTCTGGCACCAAAGATGCAACAAAGAATCCATCAGATTAGGATTCTGTGTGCAGTTTTATTTTCCTTCTTCTGGACCTTCCTGCCTGAAAACTAGAAGTGATGCCAGGGGGTACAGCAGGCATCTTCAGTCCTCAAAACCTTGTGTAAGTGTGATGGTGCCGAGAGATGGAAGCAGCCTACTGCCTGCTGGTCCTGGGAGCTGAGGAACCCTCTCAGGGTTGCCTTCCTCCTAGATTTGTGACACATGAGGAAAAAAATCATATTTGGCTGAGCTACCAGAATTGGGTTTTGGTCATGTATAACCAAATGTGACCCTACCTTGGAGAAGACCCATTGCCCATTACATCTATAGAAATGTCTTGGATTTCTGGATCAGGTCTCAGCTCAACTGTTGTACACTTAGACACTTGCCACCTTGGACCAATGTATCATTTTTCAGGTGAGGGAAATGGGGTTTTATATTTATTCCCTATCTTTGCTGTAACAAATACCACCAATTTAGTGGCTCCGAATGACAGATTTATTATCTTACAGTCCTGGAGGCCAGAAGTCCTAAAGTCAAGGTGCAAGAAGGGTCACATTTCTTTCTAGAAGTTGTGGGGAGAAGCCATTTCTTTGCCTTCCCCAGCTTCTGGAGGTCACCTGTCTTTCCTGGCTCATGGTCCTTCTTAATCAATTCTAGAATTTTCAAATCTCTCTCTTGACTCTGCTTCTGTTGACACATCTCCTCTGACTCTCCCTTGCCTCCCTCCTTCCATAAAAAGAACTCCTGTGATTATGTTGGGCCCACTTGGATCATTTCCCCACTAGCTCTCACACATAATTGCATTTGCAAAGTCCCTTTTTGTCATGTTAAGAGAACACACTTACTGGTTCTGGGGACTAGGATGTGGATATCTCAAGGGGACACTATTCTGTCTACCACTGTCCTAGAGATGGAAAGTGAGTTACCCAAGGTCACACAGAACTTGTTGAAAAGAGAAATACGTATAGGCTCACACTACTGCCAGAAGCACCCCTTAAATGTCCATTTCAGGCTGCCCATGTGCTCAACAGCCACTGCTGCCCTGCCTAGCCTGCAGAGACTACCTTCTTGGATGAATCTGTATACTCATTGGCACACAGCACACACTGGATCAGCAGTCTTGAGGTATATACCTTGTCTTCTGCTCAATCTTGACTTCTGAAGGTAAAGATCAAATGTTGACCATTTTGCACTCCTGGAGTCCACTGCCCAGAGCAGAAGCTCAACATGCGTATGTTTCCTGATGTTTATGGCAGATTCTTCAGACTGACTCAGCTTCTATCCTGCAGTCTGCAAGACTAAAAACTGCATTTCCCAGATTCCCTGGCTGGTTGGACTAGATTCCATTAAACCAGACACAGTGAAAGTGAGGTGGTGGCCACAGCAGGAAAGAATCTTCTGAGGGGAAATGTTGGATGTGTTTGGCTTTTCTGCCACAGTTGTGCTGGGGGCTGTACCATTAAGTTCCTGGCATCTTAGAAGCCAAGGAGTGGGGCAGTGCCATTAGGCATTTGTCATAGATGCATGGCTTCTGCCATTTAGTACTTGAGCTTGGTTCTCCAACCCCTCTGGAAATCTTCATGCTCTTTCACACCCTGCATAAACCCCTCTAGCTGGAGCATTTTCTACTGTCTGCAACTAAGGACCTTTACATACTGTATATTACTACTCTCTGGCATTGTAAATCTCCTAAGGATAGGAACTACGTTTTATATTTCTCTGGCAAACAGCTTCAAGTAGCTTCTCCAAGAAGATTATCAACAGAATATGCACAATTCACTGGACTGTGTTAAAATTTTGACATTTTGATGAATTCTTTATATATATATAATTTTCTAGTTGTAGATGGACACAATTATATTTATTTTTATGTGGTGCTGAGGGTCGAACCCAGGGCCTCCCACGTTGTGCTAGGCGAGCAATCTACCGCTGAGCCACAACCCCAGCCCCATTTTGATGAATTCTTCATTCTTCCTATGAAACAAGAGCCTGAAATGAAGTGATAGAATAATATAGTCCCTATCCCTTTAAACCTCAAAGCTAAATCATACCAGAAGTCAGATTTTCTCTCTTTAATTTAATCGATTACTTCAAAAGGACTTCCAAAGAAGCCATCCCTTTTATTTATTTTTGGTACTGGGGATTTAAAGGAGGGACACTTTGCCACTGAGCTACATCACCAGCCTTTTTTTACTTTTTTATTTTGTGACACAGCCTTGCTAAGTTGCTGAGGCTGGTGGGGTGAAACCTTCCCTTTTATATCAGTGTTTATTTGTTGAAAAATAAGGTAATAGTAAATGTAATTTTTAATTCGTCCCGAAACTCATTGACTTAACACATCGGGATACTGCCATTTTCTTCCGTGTCCTATTCCTGTAATGCTCATTTTTGCAGGACTGTTGTCTACCTACAATATTGTCTTTTACTTTTCCCTATATATTAGCACATGAGTATTTTCCATGGTGGATACCTGTCTCCATTTCTGATAACATCATATTTCTTTCAGTACCCATCTTATCCATTTTTGAACAATCCCTATTCTTAAACATTTAATTTTCTTCCAGCTTGTCCTTACACCGCAATCATCGCTTTTGGACTCATTTCCAGAGCACAGGTTCCCAGGCACAGGACTGTCAATCAACAGGTGCGCCACTGGCTGCCTGTAGGGCTGTCACTCTGCCCCGGAAGGATGAGAACACCAGAGAGCGGCGGGTGCAGCCAGTTTTCTTTCACTTTCGTTCTTTTCACAGGTTCCTTCACATCGACTCAGTCTGCCGTGCCGGAGTTTTAGGGAGGTTAACTTTCCGAGGGACTTGCTCCCGCTGCATCTGCTCAGAGTCAGGGAAAGACCTGCTCCCGGGAGCGCGGGAGGCGCGCCCGCGCCACCAGCCCCGCCCGCTCGGGCCCGTGCCCGCCCCGGACTACATGTCCCAGGCGCCCTTGCGCGGAGGGCGGGGCCGGGCTCTGCGGCCGGTTGGTACTGGGGGGACCCGGCGCATTCGGGGCGCAATGGCCGCGTGGGGTGATCGGCTGGCTGGTGTGCGCGGGGTGCTGCTCGACATCTCGGGGGTGCTGTACGACAGCGGCGAGGGCGGCGGCGTCCCGATCGCCGGCTCGGTGGAGGCGGTGGCGAGGTGAGTGGGCCCCTGTCCGGCAGGCGGGTACCCGCCCTGCGCTCTGTGGGCGCTGGCGACCCCCAGCGGGGGGCGGGGCTGCCTGCTGGCCCCGCCCCGCCCCGCCGTGGCTCCGCCCCGCGCTGTGCCTGGCAAGTTAGAGCTGCGCTGTCCAGTTGGACTGAGGCTAGTCTGCACTGAGATGTGATATGAGTGTAAAATACAGTACTTTCTGGGTTTCCAAGGTTTAGAGAAATGTAAAGTAGCTCATTAGTATTGTTTTATGGTGATTACGTGTTGGAATGACAGTAATATGACTATGTTAGCATAAGCGTGTCAAATGAATTCCACCTGTTTCTCTTGACGTTTTACTAGAAAAGTTTACATATTCGTCTTACCATGCAATTGTGTCCGACCAAATGGTTTACAGGAGAGGACGAGGGGAGCATTTGGCCCATCCATCCTTGCCCTTAGAGGGCACTGCCAGTACCATGGTTGGCACTACCCAGCCTGGGCTTTATATTTCCCATGGTGCCCCTGGACAGCACTGCTGTGATGTTAATGGGCGGTTGGGAAGTGCACTTTGCCCAGAACTTAGCCTTCCAGAGTCACTTAGCTAGAACACCCTGACTTGGTGGCTTGATCCCACTGGGACTCAGTTTACCACCCTGTAGATGGCAGTAAAGTGAACCTCTTGGTTGTTCTCAGAGACCTCACCCTATCCATCTGTATGTGTGGGAGCTGCGGAGATAACAGGGACCCAAACTGTGCTGCGCAGTGAAGTGGACAGTGTTTGGGGTACTGGGAATGGGGGAGAGGGAGTGCATGTGAAGGGCAGCTCAGACCTAGGAGACACCCGGCCACAGGGTAGGCTCTGTGTGGTTGGAAGTCCAGGGGTAGGTGCTTTCCTGGCTTCCGCTTTATTCTCCCGAACCCAGAGCTTCAGACTAGCTCTGTCACAGGCGAGAGCATCGTGAGGGTGGGGACTGTAGAAATGGAGCAGAGGGCAAGGGCTGTGTTTTAGAGTGAGGAGGCCTCGTGTGGGGGAGCAGGAGGCCAGAGCCTCAGTGCTGGGACCGAGGCAGCCAGGGCTCAGGGTCATCAGTGTCTGCATACAGCTCAGTAGACGCCGTCACCACAGATTGGTGTAAGTGATGTGAAGAGGGGGACCTGGGAGAGTACGACAGGGGAAGGTGGCTGTGCTAGACAGGAGGCCAGGATGTCTCTGAGGCAAGGTTTTGAGCTGAACCCGAGGGACAAGATGGGGACCGAGGACGTGCCAGGTGGGCAGAAGCAGCAGCAGCCGTGAGGCCTGAGGCAGAGAGCATGCCGGGCTCAAGGAGTGGCAGGGGCTTGAGGCTGCGAAGCACGTCATGCTGCATCCTGAGGGTCGGTTTTATGCAGACTAACATGATCCAATTTATGTTTGAAAGAAATTTAAATGTAAAAGGTGAAAGCATATATGTGCAATGAAAACAGGGAGTGAAAGGAGCCTTTATTTCTGTGCCTCAAATCTACAACAAAAAATCAGCAGCCCAATAGAAACATAGCCAGAGGACATACCAGCTCCCAAGAGAGGAAGCACAGGTTGCTCTGCAAACCTCTGAAGGATGCTTAGCCTACTCAGAGAAATGCAAATTAAAATGACACCAAGATGCCATTTTTTTAATCAACTTGACAAAATTGTCAAAAATCAAGAAGTTTGAGAATGAGTTCTCTTGGTGAGAGTTTGAGGAAACAGACCCTGCCATCCTGTACTAGTGGAAGGTCCGTTTGGCACATCAGTCCACTCCTGGGGTTTGCCCTGCCTCACACGAGAAGTGACAAGGACAAGGTCATTTGTAGCAGTGCCTTTTGAAATAGCAAGAGTGAATTCTCTTCAAATGTGTCAGCCTCGAAGTCTCGCCTCCCGTCTGCACGTGGAACACTAGCAGCGTAAGGAGTGGGCTCCCCTCCCTGTAGCCACCTTTGGTAAAGATAGCAGGCTGCACAGTCACCCACCTTTGGGTATAAAAGGCAGAAATGCAATAATGTATTCCTACTGCTATGTTTGCAAAAAGACTCTGCAAGTGTCACTGGAAGGAGTCCCAAAGAGTTCACAGAGAATGGGGGATCTCGACTCAGGACGAGTGCAGTCCTTGACATGAAGGAAAAGAATTTCAGCATGTGTGGCAGGCACAGAGATTTATTTACGAAAGCAAGGAATGCAAATTCAGGGGAGAATGTAAGCCACCTTGAGTGGGAGATGCTCTTGGGGGGACCCAGCTCCTGTTTTAAAGGAAGCTTGGTGAGGGGTGGGTACAGGAAGGTATGACTTCAGTCTGGTGATCATGAGATGACTTATGATGATTTATGTGGTCTGGTCATGTTTGGGATCCTTAGACTTCGTGTGGTCTCATTATCTGATCAATGGACAACACTGGAAACTTCCCTTAAATTGTTGGTTTCTTAAAATACCATTATCTCCCTTTGTTTAATCTGTTTATTGGTAGATAATAGAATTTACAATAATTCCAAGATTTATAGATTTCCCAGAATTTTAGGAGTGACAGGCCTGGGGGGAGAGTGGCCTGGAAAGTTGTATGGAGCCTCAGATTAAAATAACATCTCCTTGTTCTTGTTTATGTTTCCTTTCGATCTTTTTCTTATTTCTTCTGCCTCAGAAGGACACATGCCACTCCAAGTGTGATGAAGAGCTGCGGGGACAAGCCAGGAGGATTGGTCGCTGGGAGGGAGGATGGGAGAAAGTTCATTGTAGACTTTGTATAGCATATTTGTAACCTGTTAAGTGCCATTGTCCTGGATATCAGACCTAAAAACTTAAATTGAGCAACAAATAAGCCACTTGTAACTTTTGAAATAAATACTGTGTTTTTGGAGTAGTAAGTGAATTATTAGAGTGTTTAAAAATACACATGTGAAATATATAAAGTATATATAAACTTTAGATTACGATTTCTGCCTATTTTAATGCCTCTGCATCAATTTTATTGAAATATCCCAGAATTGAAAACTTGGGATTTACTGGATTAAAGGGTTTTTTAAAAAATGAAACAAATGTATTTCCCATTCAAAGCATTAAATTAAAACTATAAATAACTCTCCCTGACTGCAGTGTGGAGAATGGAGTGGCAGGAGGCAGGTGGCCAGGGGCTAGGGAGCAACCAGGGTGACCAGTTCAGAGACAGTTCAGGTGGCCCAGGAGAGCTGATGAGGCTCAGCTGAGAGAGGAGGCAGTCACATGGGGAAGGACATGATTAAAGTAGGACCCATGGACCTGCTGACACATTGGCTGTTATGGGGCCAGGGAGAACATGAAATAGAGGGTTCCTTCCTCATCTGTCTTGAGCCCCTGGCAACACAGCAGGGTGGTAGGAGAGTGCATGGGCAGGTGCCCTGGAGGCACAGGTGCCCTGAGTCAAGTTCCGGTCCTCAGTGCTCAGGCCATTGTGGTAGACCCCACAATAGTGCAACATTTAAATATCGTTTCTATGTTATTGATAAAACTCCTGTTATATATACTTTTAATTCTTTTAAAATCAGGGCCATTTAAAACAAGTTTTTATTAAGGTGACTATACTATTGAAAAGAACTTGTGCACTTCAGAGGCCCCCGTGTCTCTGCCCCTGGGAGACCCCTCTGCTGATTCCTAGTTCTGTAGACTGGTTTGCCTGGCATGAGCAGTACTTAGATTAACTCATGTGTCTTGTTTCTTTCACTGGTGTTGTTTAGAGATTTGCCCCATATTTATGGCATGTGGTTGTAGATTGTTCGTTCTCATTACTGTGTGATGGCCACAATTTATTATTCTATTAAAGAGGATATATATATATATATATATATATATATATATATATATATATATAATATATTCCCATTTGGGGTTATTATGAGTCGTGCTGCGGGGAATATTCTAGAATGTGTCTTTTTGGTGAGCACACGGATGCATCCATGCAGCATGCAGAGGTAGGAGTGGAAAGGCTGGGCCACAGCCAGGCTCAGCTTTGGAAGATGCTGCCTGAGGGTTCTCCATAGAGGTGCAGTTTGTATGACAGCTGTGATGTAATAATAGTCCTATAAAATACACCAAAGCCAGCTGTATGGCTGATAAAGCTGAAAAGTCCCTTGCTGAAAGTTTATGAGACTGTTTCTGGTGAGGCGACATCATTTGTTCCATCTGGGAGGTTTTATCATGTGCTGTCCAGGGCCCCCGAGAACTGCCTGCCTGGTTTCCCTGCAGCTTCCTGGCTCCCCTGCCTCAGGACCGTGTCTCCACACCCCACCTTGGCCCAATGGAGCCTTCTCAGGTGACCTTTGGGGTTCTCACTGGTTCTCAGTCACACAGACTTCTTAGTGAGGTTGTCACTGCTGGCCCTGAGCAGCTTGTCCCATAGACCCTGACCCCACACTGTTGTGCTCTTCAGCTCCTCGATTGGCTTGTCAGGACAAGGTTCCCACCAGGGCCGTCCCTTCCTGCTCAGGCCCTCTATGCTTGCCTGATGCTTAAAGTGCACCAGGGCCCAGAGCCAGGAGGCCCTCAGTCAACTGGGTCTGCCCTTGGAGCTTTCCAGGGGGTTTCCTCCCTGCGGCTGAGACAACAGGGAGCTCCTTTAGGGTCAGGCCCCGCTCACCAAGGGGCACAGCTGCCAGGATCCAGCTGTCCTATGTGGCTTGTTTGTGCCCTTCCTCTGTGTCCTCCTTGAAATGCGCGGCTCCCTTTGAAGTCCCTTAGGGGCTCAGAGGAAGTTCCTGGGGCAAGACCAACTGCCACACAGGGACAAGTGTGGTGGGGGAGGGACAGGTCTAGGGAGCACATGCCTCCATCTCCATGGCAGACCCCCAGCATGTCCTTATGCTGTGAGTCTAGGAGGCAGTAACTCGCTGTCCCCACTTCTTCTCCTGCACTTTCTATAGTGACAGGTACCCTCAGAGTTTCTGAAAGATTCCCACTTATTGGGGGACAGAAAGCACACGGAGAGTGCAAACTCAGCTTTCGAAATAAGATGGAAGCTCCCCTTTCC